AGTTTTGGCGCCCACACCTGCTACTTGGACTTTATGACCTAACAAACACAATAGTTATTAAAAATGTCTGTGGCGGCCAGAGATACTGAATGGAGCCTTGGGCAAGCCCCAGTAGGAGAATCACAGGGAGATGCCTAAGGTTTTAAAGCAAAGCCTTGCTCTCTTTGCCAATTTATTAGTTTTAATAAATTATCCCAAAACTTTGTGGTCCATTTTGGAGGCTGGCTGCAATAGCCAGTGACTATTCAGTACTTGAAAAGCAGCTGTCTTGCTCCTGGGCTCTGTCCAGTAGAGACTGAACGTGTGACCATAGAGCACCGAGTGTAGTGGTTTGCATGGACAGTTGAAACAAAGCACCACAAACCAGGTGGCTTAAACAATAGAAATTTATTGTTTCTCAGTTCTGGAGGCTACTAGTTCAGAATCAAAGCGTCAGTAGAGTTGGTTCCTTCTGAGAGCTCCGAGAGAAAGATCTGCCACAAGCCTCTCTCCTGGGTTTGTACATGGCCATTTTTCCCTGTGTCTCTTCACATCATCTTTCCTCTATGTGTATGTCTTTCTCTGTCCCAATTTGTTAAGGGTTAGGGTCAAGACATGAGAACCCTTCGAGTGGAATAGGACTTTGCCAAAGAGCTACCTGTGGACATGTCAGTTCACTAAGCAAAAGCTGCTCGACCATGAGGGGAACATTCCACTGATCAGGGATGTCCGAAAAGGGAACCTGCCTTGAGGCCTAAGGGCCACAGTCTGGATGTCCGGGAGAAGAGAATGATCAAAGGATGTCAGCCCAGCAGATAAGAGCAGTTTGCTATTTGCCTGAGGCAATGTTCCTATCTCTCTCCTGAGTTCACATCTTAGTAAATGAGGAACTAGATAAAGTAGAAAGAAGTACTTGGTCTCTTTGTTCCCATTTGGATCCCATTTAGATTATACCCTTTACTGCTAACTCATGCTTTCATCTTTAACTTGCCTATACTTAGCTAATTTATAGTTACTTTGGAAGACCTTGAAACTTAAACTCATGATATGTATATGCAAATTGGTGACTGATATTTTCCCATCACTTTATACTTTGTCTCTGTCTCCTTTATTTCTAACCTCTTGTGACTTTCCTGCCTGGGACCCAATTTGTTGGGAGAGTCTCAAACTCCCGGCACCAATTTCTCTTCTTAATAAGGACGTGAGTCCTCATTAAATAGATGATTACTAGGGAGAAAGAATGGATCATTTGGATCATAGGAGATTAACTTGTAAATAGGTCTCTTTGGAATTTGAACTACCTGAGAGACAGACATTATTTTGTGAAAGAGTCTGTTCAGGTGTGGTTCAGTCACATTGTATTTGAGCCCATTCTAAAGACCTCATTTTAACTTCATTACTTCCAGAAAGATCTTATCTCCACATACGGTCACCTTCTAAAGACCTGGCTGTTAGGGTTCCATTATCTTTTGGGGGGGACACAATCCAACCCTTAACACCAAGTAACTCCACAACCTAGCTACTCATAATGAGCTAGATGTTACTTGATCCAGCAGCTGATGAAGTTGGGCACGCATAGGAGCATTCTATTAAGTGAAACTGGCATATATATGCTATAGGAGATTAAACCCAGCAGGTCCCCAAGGCACAAGAAATTCACAGACACAGAGAACTTAGAGCAAATGTTGCCTTCTCCCACTGCTTCAGCGTCTCTCCCTCAACACACACCCATAGCTCTGTCAGGTTTCAGTGTGAAACTGGCTGGTTCTCAGTCAGCTCATGGCTGAAGAATGACCAGACAGAACAAAGTAAGGCAGCACAAAAATGAGGTTTGTTGGGGAGAGAAAGATAGGATTACAGGACACGAGCAAGATACAGGTTTACAGAGCATGACATATATGCCACAGGTGACAGCAAAGATGATACTGTCACAGCAAAGGGGGAACAAAAGGAAGGGCACAAAAAGGGACTTGGTTATGGTCTGAATCTTGTTTTATAGTGCCCAGATTGGGACCTCCCTGGTGGCTCAGATGTCACCATGGAACCACTTTGATTGGACAGTTGGGAGCAGCATAATTACACATAAGGGTTATTCTTGGTCAATTTCGAGACTCTATGGCACCTATGCTGCATGGCCCATGGGCTAGAGAGCCCTCTGCATTCTTTTGCAGCTGTAGTGCTAAGTTATTTATGAATGGCAGATTTATAGGGTATTTCCTCCTCCCCCAGGTATGGAGAGGATTAGGGTGGGGCAGGACGTGGGCCCCCCCACCCCCCCCAGAGGCTCACTCTTGTTTTTCTTCCCATGTGGGGCAATTGCCCCAAGGCAACAACAACCACTTTTGTCCCTAGGAGACCCAGAATCTCTCACTGTGGACCTAACAGCTCCGTGGGAAGTTTTTTAGAAGCAGGCAACAGAAGAGGGAAGAGTCAGCCTTATGCAAAGTTGGCACTAGTAATTAGTAGATGGCTCTGCATCAAACACCCCCTCAGGGATGCCCTGCAATACAGGAGAAAGGGAAATCGTATCGATGGACATAACTTTGGGCGGTACATCTGCTTTTCCATTTTGCATGGAAAGACATGGCCCAATATAAGAGCTACACTGACTCATAAGTGGTGGCTAATGTGTTGGCCAGCTGGTTCCATAAGGAGTTGGAGAAAACACAATTGAAAGACTGGCAACAAAGAGGTCAAGGTGGGGGAGGCATTTGAAAGAGTCTCTTGAAGTGGGCACAGGGTGTGAAGATATTTGTGTTTTATGGAATGCCCTCCAGAGAACAAGATGATTTGTCCTGTGGATGTCAGCCAACCTCCCACCAGCTGCCCTGGGGCTTGGTGGATGCAGGGAGCCTGGCGCAGGTATGGAGGTTAAGCACAGTCTCAACCCCATGGACTTCCTTCACCAAGGCTGGGACTTCCTTCAACAAGGCTGATGTGGCTACCACCATGGCAGAATTGAAAGAAATTGGCCAAGTGAATGTAGCAAGAGAGTGGAGAAGGAAAACCATGATGATTGAGTTTTTAGTTTTTGTGGTGGATGAAGATCCACTTTTAACAAAGATAGAGATTATCTGAGACAAGAGAGGGGTGAGACTGCTGGAGAAGATAAGGAGTTCAGTTTGAGCCTCTGCAGTTGGCAGTGAGCAAGGACATTTATGTCCTATAAGCAACTAGTGGGCAAGGGGAAAAAGAGTTCAAAGGCAAAGTCTGGACTGGAAATTAGGGATGAAACAAACTTATTTATAATCATGTGTTAATGCCCCTTAGGACTCAGCATTTTTAATCTTTTACCTCTTTGGACAGAGAGGCTTTGCTTTTCAGCTGCAGCAACAAGCTGAAGAGGCCTTACAGAGGGTGGGAGTTCTTATCCTCAAGACAGAAAGTAGTCATGAGAGGCCCTGAAGGCAATGTTTACCTGTGTATTTTACACTGACAGTGCCAAGGGTCTGACTTCACCTCTCTTGTCCCACTTTATCTCCAGCACCTAGAAGAGAATCTGGCGTGTTGTAAGCTCTCAAATACCTGTGGATGAGTGGAATCCATGGGAGGACGTGGGAAAGAACGAATGAATGAACAACTCCACAGGGCATAATGGAGAGAGATGGGGGAGAGAGAAGCCATATGTGACCTATTTCTCTTCTCTAAAACTCTTCACAAGACTAAAAGATGATACAGAGAACAGCTGACTAAATAGATCTTTAAAAAAAAGACTAAGGCCGCATGTGGTGGCCTATACTGTAATCCTAGCAGTCTGGGAGGTTGAGGCAGGAGGATCATTTGAGCTCAGGAGTTCAAGACCAACCTGAGCCAGAGTGACACCCTGTCTCTACTAAAAATAGAAAGAAATTAGCTGGACAACTAAAAATATACACAAAAATTTAGCCAGGCATGGTGGCGCATGCCTGTAGTCCCAGCTACTCAGGAGGCTGAGGCAGGAGGATTGCTTGAGCCCAGGAGTTTGAGGTTGCTGTGAGCTCTGCTGATGCCACGGCACTCATTCTAGCCTGGCCAACAGAGTGAGATTCTGTCTCAAAAAAAAAAAAAGACTAAAAGATGAGAGGTGAGAGGCCATGTAGGGTAGTGATTAAGAACATGAACTCTGAATTCCGGCTCCACAACTTCCAAGTTGAATGACTTGGCCAAGTTACTCAACCTCTTTGTGCACAGGCTTCCTCCCTGTAAAACACAGAAAATGCTTAGAGCAGCACCTGGGAAAAAGTCACCCTCCACCTAAGTGTCAGTACTATTATTTTTGGCATCTTGATGAAAAAGTAAGCCTGCAAGACAAGCTGGAAATTCCCTGCAGAGAGAGAATCCAGACACTGGGCCTCTCAGTGCCATTCAAAAGTGAACAATACTAGCTCTCTGGGAGGCCAAGGCGGTGGGGGTGGAGGGAAAGGGGGCGGGATCCCTTGAGGCCATGAGTTCCAGACCTGCCAGAGCAAGAGCAAGACCTGTCTCTACTAAAAATAGAAAAAATTAGCTGGGGGTGGTAGCACGTGCCTATAATCCCAGTAACAGGGGAGGCTCTGGCTGGAGGATCACTTGAGCCCAAGAGTTTTAGGTTGCAGTGAGCTATGATGACACCACTGCACTCTAGCCCCGGTGAAAGAGCGAGACTCTGTCTCAAAAAAAAAAGAGAGAGAGAGAGAGAACAATCATCTTTTCTTTCTTTTCCAGACAGCCTTAGACACCCCACTCCCCCACCACCCCCAGCATACCTTTCACTGGCAAGAGACAGAGGCCTCGGTTTTAGTTCCCACCGCCAGCAGTGAGCTGTGTGAGTTTGCCAAGTGCCTTGCCCTCTCTGAACCTCGGTTCCCTCTCCGGTCCACGCGAGGTTGCAGGAGCTGAGAGCCAACTTCCCTTTCAGCTAAGATGGACCACGGCCCCCATGTCGCCAGCCTCGGGTCTGTGCTTCCGGCGCCCGGGTGCCACCATCCCCACCCCCGGCGGGTCCCCGGGGCCCCCAGCACCCTGCGCGCCCCACACCGCCTGGGGGGTGGGGAGGCGCCTCTCGGGCGCCCCCAGGCCGGGATGCTGGGGGCCTCGTCCCGGGCGCGCCTTCTCCCGCGCCGCCCGCCCCGCAGCCTGCCGGCGGAGGAGCCTTTATACCGAGCGGGCTGGGCGCTCACTAATGTTTAACTTGGGGCCGAAACTTGCGAGCGCACAGTGCCTCCGCGTCCCGGACGCCGGTCTCCGCGACTCGCGGTGACTTCTGCCTGCGCCCCTGCTCGGAAAGCTCCCTGCGGAGGAGACGCCTGCGATGAAGGTGAGCGAGTAGCCCCAGGGTGGTCGGTGCCCCCACGCCAAACTCTCCCCCAAACTCCCCTAAAGCTCGCGGAGCCGGACCGGGGACTCCAATAGGCGGGAGCCCCAGCCGCCCTCTGACAGGTGAAAGGACGTCCCAGGGCTCTCGCTTCGCTCTCGGGCGGGTGGGGGTTTAGCTGGGACCCAGGCACTGAGCCTCGGAGGTTCCAGAGAGCCACCCACAAAACCGCACGCCCGAACCCGAACACGGGTAGAGAAGCAAACTCTAACGTGCCCAGGGGCCGCGAGTTCAAGGGCACCCGCCTTCGCAGGCTGCGACTGGCGCGCTCCCAACCCACCCAGTCCGCTGTCTCCCTCTCCTAACACGCTCCCACCTGCAAATCCCGCCACCGCTGGTGCAGCCCAGGCCCCGACCCTCTCCCAGACTGGGGTCAAGCACTTGCCTCTAATTGGACATGATCTGACCGGCTTGCAGACACCGTGGAAGGTTCTCCTGGGACTGCTGGGTGCTGCCGCGCTTGTCACCATCGTCACCGTGCCCGTGGTTCTGCTGAACAAAGGCAGTAAGTTTGAAACATTTGAAAAAGATAAGACAATTGGAGTTCATCTTCAGGCGCTTTCTTATCACGTTAAGGGAAACTAGGGATTTTGCTGGTGGCTTGCACTTGTGTATCTGGGTGAAGCTGAGGTTTCCCGGGAGTTGTAGCTGCTTCTAGTGGTGGCTAGATTCACTTCTCTGGGTCTCCAGGATTTAGGCGGCAAGCCTTGCAGCTGCCCTGTATTTAACATAACAAATACATACTTCCTGAAATTAGGAGGAAATCATGTGAGTTTTTTAAAAATTAAATTTAAATATAATTTAAAAATAATCTGTGGTCATGAACTTCAAAGGAAAAAAGGCAGTGTTTAAAGACCCCAGACACAGCAGTACGGATGTCTTAAGTGGAAAGGAAAAATGAGAAAGAAAGTCCCCAAATACAGTTTTGAGAAAAGACAACGTAACAGGGAAGCCAGGTGGTTTTCCTTCGGGGATGGTGGAAATTCATCCATTAGAAGGTGAGGATGCAGAGAAGTAACAATTTGATCAATTTAGGAAGATTGCTGAGCTACATCTTAAAGCTGTTGTGCATGATAATATTCAGAAGGGGCTAGAATTAGTGATGCTTTGGTGGATTCTTTCATTTAAACCCACTTTCATGCCATTTTAGCTTGTCTGAATGTTCCAGTTTCGCTTTAATATAAAACACTCAGATATGCCCTATTAGATGCAAGCACATGAGAACTACCCTGGGACGGCTCTGGGACCTTCCTTTTAAACACTTACTTTCATTTCAGCATTACACACTCTGGATTAGTCAGCCAGCTGAAGCATTCTCTCTGGATGGTTCTGTCCATCAGAAATTTATAGTCAGTGCTTGCATACTATACTGGTGGGAGGGGCGGGGGTCTTATCCAGATTTCAAGGTGACAGATCAGAATTAGTTCATAGAGCTGTTAAAATCATGTTTGCCCTGAAGTCTCTGAGTCAGTGCAAAAGACCACAGCGCCACAGATTCAATAACTGCCAGTGCCACAGATTCAATAACTGAATGGGTTAACCTATGGCTAATGACATTTAAGTTCAAGAAACCAGTGGTTACTACCATTTTAGACTGTTAAATGACAGACATCAGTCCACTCTCTCGTGGATTGTTAAAATACAACTATTTTCATAAAGTGGTACTTTGTAAATCACACTCACAAAGCCTTGTGGGAAAAGGATGGGCCATTCATGTAATTAATATTTATAGGGCTTATATTAGGCTCCAGGCACTGCTGCAAATACAAAGATTAAATTTTATAAATATAAAAATAGAGTCCCTGACATCAAGAAATCTATATGTAGTGGGAATATGCAAAAAATATGATTTGTTTTATATATATATATATATATATATATACACATATATATAAAAATTGAAGTAACCGGGGTAGCTTGTTTGTCTCCAAAATATCACCGAGCCATCACAGAATAACTGAAAGGAGGGGTAAAACTGCAATTATTGGAATGTCCCTTAAGGAAAGTTGGAAGTAATATATATGGTATTTTAATAAGCCACTAAGGGGAAATGGGCAGGGAAATGGCCTGGGGGCCTGGTTCATGCCGATGCCTTCCTTGGGGCTTGCAGGAGTTAACCAAGAGGATTTTGTTTTGCTGGGTGGGGCATATGGGTGGGGGAGGGGCTGTCTTACCTTTTCTCCTAAACAGCACTTAATCTCTTCTGCAAATGAAGTTTGAACAAATTTCAAGAATGTTCTCTTTAGAGACTCAGGTGTCTCCATCTAGCTACTCTTATGATTCAAAAAGGTAATTTAGAGATGCTTGAGCACACTAGGCTAGAGATTAGAAGGAGCACTTCTGGGAAAGCCAAGGAAGTCTTCTAACAAGTTTTGTGGGGAAGCTTGACTACTTAACCTCAGTTTCAGGAGATAAGGCTTTCCATAAAATGCGAGTCAAGGCAGAGACACACATCATATCCTCTATTCAGGGAGTACAAAAGGATCCCGGGCTGAGAGGAGGGTGGGCAGCCGGCAGAGGCGTTTATTCTAACCTGTTGGTGATGCAGAACTACTGTGGAACTGTTGGGCATGCCAGTGGGAAGCTGAAAATGTCCTACTGGAGGGGAAGGGAGGGCAGTGGCCTCTTAGGGTGCAGGTGAGAATTTGGAGGCTGGACCTACTGCTAGACTTCAGTAACTGGTTACACTTACAGAAGTAAGGGAGAGGCCAGCTGGTGGAGATGTGGTTTTATTTACACTTACCACTCTAGTTATTTCTCTTTTTGTATTTCTTAGTGTGCATGTGTGTATGTTTAAGTGGAAAGGGAAGTCATCTTGTTTCAGCGCCTGCCTCGTACAAAACAGAGATGAAAGCTCAGGAATGCAGCGTTTTCACTAAGTCAGCAATACCTTTCCTGGGCGTGCCATGATAAGGGACAACATTATGACAAGAATTAAAAAAAAGTCATCACCCAAGAAATGTTTTCTGTATTGTCAATCAAGGCTTAGTGTCAAACAAATGCAGAGAAGTTAGAAGGGAAGGGAGTGGAGAGAGAGGAAAGGGAAAGGGGAAGGGGGAGGGAAAAAGGAAGGAAATAAAAGGAAAGGAAAGAGAGATTTGATGGAAAAACCAAACAAAACAAAGACCTAGATTATCTGGAAAGCAAAGAACTAAACCGCCAATGAAAGGAAGGAGGAAGAAATCAGCAAACCCAAGTTAATCCTCTGAGAGTTTGGTTAGAAAAGGTCAAGTGCTTCCATATGAAATGCTGACTTTAGCAAAACTAGAAAAAGTAGACACACCCAGAACGGGAGGGGAATGAGGGGGGTTGGTGGGGGAGAGACAGAAAGAGAGAGAGGCTGAAAACTATTATCACCTTTTTTAGAATTAAAAACTCCTTCAGGTCAGAGATTGTTTATTTCACCAAGCAAAATCAAAAGTTCTCTCTTTTCTTTATATATAATAAATAGTTATATTTTGTTTAAAATGTTTTTCAACTATCCTATTTTTTTCAACTATCCTGTTATAGAAGGATAGTGAAACATTGTTTCTTGGAGAGTTAGCAGCAAAATACATAAAAATAGTTGTATGGAACTATAGAAATCTTCATGACTTAGTGATAATAAAACCTCACTCAGTATTTATGATTCATTTAATTCCCCTTTTATATTATGTTTATAGGCTGAGATTTGAAATAGTTGGTTATTTGTCAAATAGTTTTATTATTATTGAATTTTATTATGGGATAGAATTATATCTATTTTACTTTTTTCTTTTTACTGCTTTAGCAGTAAATTTCCTCAATACCTTCTTTCAGTACCTAAGACATTTGACTGCTCACCTATCGGTCAGTAATAAAAGAAAACCCAAATGTGAAGGAGACAGAAACAATCAAGGAGAGAAAAGATAACATCTATGAAGTTTGCCTGAGGAAGTCCAGGATCTATTTCAGGTTGAGAAGCGCAGAAATGAGTCTGAATGAAAGCTTTGTATATTTCAGGGGACAGTTTCTAAACAGTGTGATCTGTAAAAGCTCCAGTTGACTCCTGCTAGCTCAGTTAACTATTGTCAGCCTTTGTGGAGTGCTCAGGGGGTTAGGGGGTTGGTCTTTCTCAGGTCAGCTGTTTTTGCTTTTGGTTCCCTAGCCATGACATGTGCCTTAACTTTCCCTATCTTAGAAATCTCTGCCTTTCTTCTCAAAAGGGATCAGATGGAGAAAGGAAAGACTGTTTGTCCAACTTATGGTCAGAGGAAGATGATGTGAAAGACTGGAGCTGGATCAGTGTGCTTCACATTTTATGACTTACGGAAGTGCTGAGGCCTGTGGGGAATGTGGCTGTAAATAACATGCAGGACCCCCTTGCCTGAGAAGGCATAGAAAGATGTAACAGTAGCTAACATGAATTTACTATGTGCCAGGCGTTGGGCTGGGAACTTTCAATGTATTTCTCATTTAACCCTTATAGCAGCTCTTTATGAGAGTTACTTTTATCACTTGCATTTGTACAGAAGATTTATGGAAACTTTGAGATAGTGTTTTAGTTATCTGTCACTGCATAAGGAATTACCTCAGAAATCAAACAATAAATATTTGTCATATCATAGTTTCTGTGGATAATTTGGGAGTGGCTTAGCTGGGTGGTTCTGGCTCAGGATCTCAGATGGTTGTTATCAAAATGTTATCTGACAGCTTGACTGGGGCTGGAGGATCCACTTTCAAGCTTGCTCACATGGCCATTAGCTAGAGGCCGCAATTCCCCACCATGTGGACCTCTTAGGGTAACATGGCACCGGTTTTCCCTTAGAATGAAGGATCCAGGAGAGGAACTAAGCAGAAAGTTGCAGTACCTTTATGGCCTAGCCTCAGAAGTGGCAGCTGTACCATTACTTCTGCTATGTACTATTGGTTGCACAGACCAACTCTGATACAATGTGGAGGACACTACACATGGTCTTGGATGAAGATCACTGGGAACCATCTTGGAGGCTGGCTACCAAAGAAGTTACTCAAAGCTTCAGAGTTGGGATTCACACCCAGGCAATGTAACTGTAGAGCTAATACCTGGTACTATTAAACTCTATATCTTTCTGTTAGCTTGGGATCAAGTATAAAATCAAGTTGGCCTTATTAGCATAATTGCTACAACTTCTCATTGACATAGTTATATTATAATTTCATGACTGCTAATCCCTGTATGCTAAGTGTTCTGAGGAAAAGAGCCTATTGCTGATGCCTTCACTCATATATAAAGCTGTATATAGATAGCAACTTCCAGCCCAGGACTGACATCCCAAGCTTTTGAATGGTTTTATGTAGTAGTATTCATAGTAATAATGGGTCCATATTTACTTACTTGTACTAAATTAAACTTGCTTTGTTTCTGATGCAAGTTGTTTTATTTGATTTTCACAGAGAAATTCAGGTCAGAAAGATGTATTAATATCTTGACATTTTACCCTTGAAGAAACTGAGGCATAGAAGGTTTTAGGGGTGTGCAAGTAAGTACTGGACCTTGGGAATTCA